GTAAGTATGGGGATAAAGATCGACTTGAATATTGAGAGCTCAGTTTTCAGACTGAGCTCTGCTTTAGTCATAGCGGGTCGGGCTAGTTCACACAGAACGCTGTTGGCTACTCCAATTCGCCGGTCGATCTCTTCCTTAAATTTTCTGTCATCAGTCAACACGACCCCCGATTCTTCAATGTCTCCACTTCCTCTACTACTACTCCGTTAATCTGAAGAGAGCGAAGCGTAGGAGAACGAAAACGCACTAGGCTTTTCGTTTCAGATGCGTTCACACGCATGCCGGTCACTTCGCACTCGGATGCGAACCTTTCTATGGAGCAATAAAGATCAGTTTCAGAAGATGCTAATAAAACAAGGTCGTCTGCAAACAGCAATCTTCTCGACTTCACATCTTCTACACCAATACCCTCATCGCTTTGGCAGCTCCTGACTATTCTATCCAGGTACAACACAAACAGGGCAGGGGACCACACGCAGCCTTGGCGGAGACAAGTGCGAACGTTGAATGGTTTCAATTTAGCGCCATATATTCTGGCGCAGTACCTGCTATCAGAATACACTGATTGCATAACCCGTAGAAACCGCCCATTGATCCGTTATGTTCGCAGCAGTGACCGCAGACTGTTGCGCGAGATCCGGTTAGAGGTTTTTCTTGGTCAACGAAGCACCTGTACACCGGATGGCCGAACTCCCACGATTTCTCAACAATCCGGCATAGAGCAAATATCTGGTCTGATTTGTTTCTGCCGGACCGGAAGCTACATCGCTCTTCTTGTATCTTGGAGCTGGTTATTCCGCGGCACCACCTTTCTAACACCCTTGCGTAAACTTTTCCCTTGAGACTCAATAAGGTGATCCCACAATAATTGTAGCGCTCCCTATTGTCTTGAACAGGGTCACTACAGCCCCCATTTTCCATTCCGCTCGTGTCTTCTCCGTAGCCACTGTACTAGACTGCCAGTATATGCCTTGTTCGCCTATTGCTTTGAGCATTTCACGGCTAATTTGATCAATTCCAGCGTCCTTTTCACCTTGACACCTTGTATAGTTTCATCTACAGAAATTGTAGTATGCGTTCGCCTACGCTGTATAGCTGACACTGCCTGCGGTTGTTGGAGGATAAAGAGTTCCTCAAACTACGCTCTCAGTCGCCGAAGAATGTCCTTATCCTCAGTAAGTGGATGTCCAGACGTGTCCTACAAGACTGTTAGACTACCCTTCATTTCATCTCGTAGCCGGCGCCTCAGCGACCTTCTCCCAAGAATCAGTTTCGTGTTTCACTATTGGTTTCACTGCCGCCTCGCGTGCCACCATATATCGCATGCGAATTGAAGGCTCTTTGTTTCCAAGCCATTTCTTGAACGCTACTTCCTTCTCTTTAACTGCCAATTGTACCCCTCATGTCCACAATGAAGATCTTTTCTGGCCTCCAGGCGGCAGGCCAACCCGTTTATATCCGCAGCGTTCGGCGGCAGCTTCGAGTATGCCGCTCTTAAGGAGCTGCCACTGGGTTTCAATGTCAGTTTTCATCACTGGGATCTGTTCAAGCCGTCGTGCGATGTTGTTTGCAAATTTAGCTCTCGTGTCCACCGAAGACTATGTTTCCCATTTGATTCTCCGGTTGCTTCTGTCACCAGATCTTCGAATGGTATTCCATTTTCTAT